TTCCGCCCAAAAATATTTTGACAAATTATTTTCACAAAGCATGGTTCTAGCCATTTCTTCTAAAGTTCGATTTTTCCTCTCAACAACTCCATTTTGTTGAGGGGTTCTAGGTGCTGAAAAATTATGGCTAATACCATTAGAATTACAAAACTCAATAAATCCAAGATTTTCAAATTCAGTTCCATGATCACTTCTAACACTAGTGATAGAGTAACCTTTTTCATTTTGGATTATTTTTGAAAATGTGATGAAATTTTCTAATGCTTCATCTTTAGTACTTAAGAATAGAACCCAAGTGTATCTAGAATAGTCATCTACCAAGACAAATGCATATTGTTTTCCTCCCAAGCTAGTAGTTCTAGTTGGCCCAAAAAGATCTAAATGGATCAATTGTAATACTCTACTAGTTGATACATCATTAATAGATTTAAAAGAAACTCGTTTTTGTTTTCCTTTAGCACAAGCATCACAGATTTTATCATTATCAAATTTAAGCTTAGGCAACCCTCTTACTAAGTCTCCTTGAATTAACCGTTGCAAAACACTCATACTAGCATGACCTAGTCTCCTATGCCATAACCAACTATCATGCTCATCCTTAGCAACTAGGCATAAATTAGTCATATCAATAGAATCTAAATGCACCATGTAAATGTTTCCTATTCTATGACCAACAAGCATAATCCGATTAGATGCAATGTCAATGACTTTACAACCATTAATTTCAAATAAGACATTGAATCCTTTATCGCATAATGACTAATACTCACTAGATTATGCTTTAATCCATTCACATATAAAACATTCTTAATTTGTATGGAAGAGGTATTACCTATTGTACCAATACCTTCAATGTGACCTTTTGAATTGTCTCCAAAAGTCACTTCTCCTCCATTTTTGGCGTTAAGCTCAATGAACCGGCTTTTGTCTCCTGTCATATGTCTTGAGCATCCACTATCAAGATACCATGAATTTGAATTTGTTTCCCGTGCCTTGTAGCAATGCTCCTTTCCCTACAAACATAGATTAATTTTTGATTTTTGGTACCCAAATTCTTTTGGGTCCATATTCATTAGTTTCCAAAATCCTAGTCCCCTTAGGTATCCATTTGTGTAGGATATTTTTATCTTTAGTAGTAATGAGTTATTTAGGAACCCACATACTTCTAATGATTTTTCCATTAGAGGTTCTTTGGGGACCTATATGATTGTAGTTTCTAAAACTTTTTCTAACAAAGTTGGATTTTGAATTTCCACCTTTTTCAAAATGTTTTGTTCCAACTTTATCAAAAGAAGTTTTAAGATCATCAATTTTCTTTTGATGATCATCATTGATCTTTGAAAGTAAATTTTGCAAATCTAAATTTTTCTTTTCAAACTCTTCTAGTTTGATTTGCAAATCTTTGATTTTACTTTCAAGATCGTTGTTGGTTTTGGATATGAGTTTGTTTTCATTTTTCAATTTTGAAACATCATTTTTATATTTTAAAAACAATTTCTCATAATCCGAAGCCAACCCATTGTACTCCTCAAATAACTCATCATAAGATAAATCATCAAAATCGGATGAGTTAGAGGTTACCTTAGAATCTTCCCCGAATGCCATCAAGCACAAGTTTGCTACTTCTTGTTCCTCTTCATCGGAACCTTCTTCATCGCTCCATGTAGCCACATGAGCCTTGTGCTTATTCTTTGATTGACCTTTTCTTTTCAATTATGGGCAATCATATTTGACATGCCCTGGTTTTTTGCATTCATAGCAAATGATCGGGTCCTTCTCTTTTGGTTCATTTTTGAGGCCTTCGTTTCGTTTGAATTTTCTTCCTTGGTAAGGTCTCATCATTTTTCTGAACCGTTTGGCAAACAATGCCATTTCCTCGTCATCATCATCATTATTAGAATCACTCTCATCTTTTGTGGATTTGAGAGCAACTCTAATATTTTTCTTCTTCTCCTTTTCCTTTGGTGTCTCTTCAACTTTATCAAGGTCCACCTCATCTTCGAGCATCATCTCATGAGTGAGGAGTGAACCGATAAGTTCTTCAAGAGTTAAGGACGATAGGTCCTTAGACTCGATGATTGTCGTCTTCTTTGATTGCCATGATTTTGGGAGGGAGTAGACTAACTTCCTCACAAGCTTTTCATTTGAGATGATCTCTCCATATGATTTGAGACCATTGACAATCGTTGAAAATCTATCCGTCATAGCTTTGATGTCTTCATTTGGTTTCATCTTGAAATTTTCATAGCTATGCGTTATAATACTAATTTTTGATTTATTTACCTCATATGTACCTTCATGTGTGACTTGAAGCTTGTCCCATATTTCTTTGGCGGTTGTACACGATGAAACTCTTCCGTATTCATCTGGTCCAAGAGCACAAAAAATAATATGGATGGCTTTGGAGTTGAGCTGGAACATTCTTGTCTCTCCTTCACTCCACAACCTTGGATGAGTGATAGGCTTGATGTATCCTTCTTCTACGGCATTCCATGCTCCCATGTCACTTGCTTGAATGAAGTACATCATTATATTCTTCCAATAGGCGTAATTAGCTCCATTGAAGAAAGGAGGCTTGTTGACGGGCATCGAATCAAGACCAGAGTCGTAATTTGAAGTGGAGGCCACTGATGACTTGGTAATCGATGTAACTCTTCCCGAATGACTCAAGAGGCGATTAAACCTTCAAATGAGTGAGGCTCTGATACCAATTGTTGAGTTAATCGATCTACGGAATCGGCCAAGAGGGGGGTGAATTGGCAATTAAAAATTTCGTGGAAGCTTTTGCAGAAAATTTAAAGTAATTGCACATCGATTTACAGTGGTTCGACTTTCTCAAACAAAGTCTATGTCCACTACCTTAGCTATCCACACTAAGGATTTTCCAACAAATTCACTAATTTGTTCTTTCTTTTGAGGCCAAAGAGATAACCTTACAAAATCCCTCAAGAGTATACCCCAACTCTTGAGAACACTCTTTTTCCCAAAGAGAAGATTACAAATTTGCAAACTTACAAGAAAACCTCACAAGGTAAGATGTTTGCACAATTCTAGAACAAAGAAAAGAACACTCAAGGATAAATACAATTGAGTACAAAAGTGTTCTTGAAAGCAAATGAATATTGGATGAAAAATAGGCTTGAAATACTCAAACTTGAGGTTTGATGCTTTCTCTTTGATTCTCTCTTGATTCTAGTTGATTGATGTTTCTTGTTCTTGATCAAAGGCTCCATAACTTGTTTAAATACCCCTTGAATCAATTCTGAACGTTGGTGATAATTAGTGGGGATAATAGAGCCGTTTAAGTGTGAAAACAATTAATTTTTCTAGGTGGAGCGTCTCATGCATCGATCCATGATCAAGTATGCATCGGTGCATATGTGTAAAATTCAAATATTTTGACCGTTGGAACACTTGATGCATCGGTGCACCAAGTGTGCATCGATGCATGAAATGCATTCGATGTTTGAAAAATAGCCTAACGCATCGATGCATGTCTTGTGCATCGATGCATCAAATGCATTCGATGTTTTGAAAATATTCAGAGTGCATCGATGCATGGAGAGTGCATCGGTGCATGGAATGCATTCGATGTTCAATTAATTCATCGATGCATCGATGCATGTACTGATGCATCGGTGCATGCCTTTGAATAATTGATTTAAGGCTTGTTTTTGGTTCAAAATACTTTGTGAAAATTGTTTCAAAAATAGTTTAAGTACAAATCACAATTTTACACATTTAGTAAGGATTAAAATTGATCTTGAAAAACTTGGAGTAATAATTTGATATTCGGTTAATTGAATCGAATTTGTAAAATCATTTGTGAAATCTTAAAATTCATTTAACTTAATTTGTTATATCGAAATATCAAAAATGTTTTCAACAAAATATAAACAAAATACATTCACATGTTGATCAGTTATAATATTCGTGTATATATATCATATTATTGTATTATTCAATTATTTCATGTTGGATTTCTTATTAGGTCATTTTCCTTTTTTAATTGGCATTGACTATATATATTATGTCGTGATAGATTTGTCATTTGAATGGTGCAGCCCAGTGGTTGGAGCGTTTGCTTTCTCTCCTCATGTCTTGAGTTAAATCCCACAAACATCGATTATTGATTAAATTTATTTTATATTCATTCAATTGGTGACACGTGACACCATTTGATTGGATGGAAAGTTTATTAAATTAAATAAAAATATTAAGAAAAATATTCAAACACATAGTGACACATGTCATCATCTGATTGAGGATTATATTTATTAAATTAAATAAAAGTTAGGACCAAATTAATAAGATATGTACATAACGAGGACTAAATGGATAATTATACAAATTTTATTACCCGCCACTTCATCTCCTCCGTTAATATTTAACGACAAGTAGCTTGATTGACAATATTTAAATAGTTAAGTATCCGATTGTAAAATTAAAAAATTGGTGGTTTTAATAAAAAAGATAAATAATTAGGAGTCAATGATATAATTTATCCTAAAAACTAATATTTTATAAATATTATATTTCAATTAAATTAAATTTAAATTTTAAATTAACTTGTAATTATATGTTTAATATTTTATATTTTAACATTTTATAAATTAATTTAATAATACTCATCGTTGTATAATTTTTCTTTCATAAATGCCCTCTACCAATGAACATTGTCTTATTAGATTATTACAATACATAAATATATTCTATCATAGAGGAAGAAAAAAAAACGAAAGAGAAGGAAACGAGAAAAGGAAACAAGGACCAGTCGTTATCATCATCCATTGACGCTCACAAAAAGGACCCAACACAGAGACAGAGACATAGACAAAGTTTATATCTTTGTCTCTTTTTTGTTTAATTTAATATTATTATTCATCCGCTTCATTAGTAACAAACAAACCTCATCCCAAATCCCTTTCAATGTCGTTACAGAATATTCTCCTTTTCCCACCCTTTCTCCCCCAAACTAACTCTTTTATATCTTAATTCCTCTGCCATGTGCCATTGCAATCATGTCCGCCCATCTTCCTCTTCTTTCATGTATATCAGCTCGATGTGGGTATTTTTTCTTCTGGGTTGATTCCATCTTGGAACAACAATGGCATTGTTTAAGAAGCTATTTAATAAAAAACCGCTTGATGGGCTCGTGGAAATCTCTGAAAGAGTTTACGGTAGGGTTTTCTTTTACCCCTTTCTAATTTAATTTGCTTCTTCGTATGTTAAACGGTTATGAGATTACGAAATGTAATTACACGTTTATTAGATATATACACCCCATGTGTCCGTGGGAAATGCTATTACATTGGAGTTTTTCTTCCAAGTGTTTTCATACTGAAATTGTCATAAAATAATTTATTTTCAACGTAAATTATGTGATTTGAGGCTGCAATGGTATAACACTGGATTTTATCAAAACTAAGATCAAATGCATGATGCATAGAATGAATAGTTCGATGGGGCCTGTAATCTTTGAATTAGTGTTTCTTCAATGTGAACTATCTTCATCAATCAACATAATGTAACTATGCTGCAAGTTAGTTTTATATGCAGAAAGAAGCTGATGGTTTAGGATGCAGATTATCTTATTATTTGTTTAAAGGTTGTCATTTATGTCCCTGATTTCAATATGATGTAGTTTTCCTGTTAGAGCAGTTTCTACTTACTGCCGTGGGAGAAATGTTCGAGTAAACAACTTAATCTCTGTTGTGTGGTATTTTATTATTTGCTTATCAATCACATGAGAGTATTATCCTATGACTCATTAAATAACGGAAGCTTTGTTGTATACATTTTTAGTTTTTAGTTGCTGCTTTTCATCGGACATTAAGGAAGACAATGATTTTAAAAACCACATTGAAGGCATGTTGGGTAAACTCCGTGGTCACTTTCCTGATGTCTCGTTCATGGCCTTTAACTTCCGAGAAGGAGAGCACCAAAGTCGGATTGCCAGCATATTGTCCAAGTATAATATGACTGTAATGGACTATCCTCGTCAATATGAAGGTTGCCCAATACTCACCATTGAGGTGATCCGTCATTTCTTGAAATCTAGTGAAAACTGGTTCTCACTTGGGCAACACAACTTGATCTTAATGCATTGTGAACGAGGTGGGTGGCCAGTTTTGGCATTTTTGCTTGCTGCTCTCATGTTATACCGAAAGCAATCCAATAACGAGCAGAAAACATTAGAATTGATCTATAAGCGAGCACCTCGTGAGCTTTTGCAGTTGACATCTCCCTTGAATCCACTACCCTCTCAATTAAGGTATCTTCAGTATGTCTCTAGGAGCGTTACGGGCTCACAATGGCCTCAATCAGATAGACCACTTACATTAGACTGTGTTATTCTAAGATGTGTTCCTAATATGGATGGCGAGGGGGGCTGCCGTCCAATATTTAGGATATATGGACAGGATCCTTTGATGGCTGCTGACAGGACCCCCAAAGTTCTCTTCTCTACACCAAAGAAGAGTAAACTTGTTCGGTATTATAGGCAGGTGAGTTGATTCTCTTTTATCTAAGAAAAAACATTTTTCATCATTATTTTGGAAGTAAACTACTTATTCCCTGTAACCTTCCACAATGAGACATCTTTTGCTGTCAACATCAGAGCTGAAGTGACTCTCCTCTTTACATATTTAAATCTCCACTTATTCTTTCAGGTGGATAACGAACTAGTTAAAATTGACATACGTTGCCATGTTGTGGGTGATGTTGTTCTTGAATGTATTAGTTTAGATAATAGTGATCGGCAGCGGGAATTAATGATGTTCAGGGTCGTGTTCAATACAGCCTTTTTAAAATCATATATTTTGATGCTTAACCGTGAAGAAATTGACACCTTATGGAATTCTAAGGACCGATTTCCAAAGGATTTTAGAGCAGAGGTATACATTCATCTTCCTCAGTCCTCGGTATTTTGTTGTGTGCTGTTTGGTTTTTGAATAGTTATTAACTTATGTCTGGGTGAAGGTTGTTTTCTCAGATATGGATATTCGAAATTCTGCCTTTTCAACTGGTTCTTCGGGTGTTGAGGAGAAAGGTGGTCTTCCCATGGAAGCTTTTGCTAAAGTTCAAGAGATCTTTAGCAATGGTGATTGGCCATCTCCTTCAACAGATGTAGCAAATACACTTCAGCATATGCCATCAGGAATCCAAGAAAAAATGGAGAAATCAAAATCACAGTTATTAGATCACAGCATCTCATGCACTGGTTCAGAGAAAGCATCTACATCGGATGAAAATGCATCTCGAAAGAAGTTTGTATCACAGGAAATCCAGGTTGCTCCCCAAAAGTCTGCACAGTCCTATCTCAGATCACCTTCTGATCCAATTAAGGGAAAAACTGAATTACAACTTCAAGCTGCTCCACAAGGAGCGGAACATTGTGAGACATCTACTGAACCATCCGAAGAAGCCAATGCAACTAGAAGGAAGGTCGAAATTCGGGATTCTCAAGTTGCCCTACAACATTCTGCACAATACAAACCAACCATGGATGCAAATTCAGTTAGAAAGAAAACTGAAACCCAAGAAGAAAACATTCGACCACTAACTTCTTCATCTGTTTCGTCTCTTCCTTTATCAGATACACAAAAACTTATGCAGCATTCTATTGGGATTACTTCACCGAACCCTCGTGGTACACAACCTACCAGTAAAGCTCCCTTGTCTTCTCTTTCAGTAGAATCTTCTGCCATTGAAAAATCTGCTTCAACCCCATCTTCTGCTTGTCATACCTCTTCTCTTCCTCCTACTGGAGCAAAGAAATCATCCCAATCTAGCCGACCCCCTGCCCATCCCCCGCCTTCCTCTTCGAGTGCATCTTCAGATCCCACAGTCAAAAACTTATCCCCGTCCTCCGGTCCCCCTCCCCCTCCTCCACCCCTTCCCAATGTTGCTTCCTCAAATTCTTCACCACAACTTCGGACATCAGGACCTCCTCCACCACCTCCACCTCCCCTAACTAGTCAATCCTCAGTGCCACTGCCACCTCCTGGTCCAGGTCCACCCGTGCCACCTCCTCCAGTTCCTATGGGATTATCTAGAGCAAACTCAGTAAGCAATGGCAATATACTTCAATTCCAGGACACCTCCTGGCGCTCCTTTGATGAGGGGTCGTTCAATAGCACGTTTAGGTTCTAATAAAAACCAGGCTCCAATAAAAAAATCCAACTTAAAGCCTTATCATTGGATGAAGTTAACGAGGGTCCAACAAGGAAGCTTATGGGCCGAGGCACAAAGACCCGAGGAAGCTGCCAAGTATGCATTTGTCACTAAATTGCTTTTATTCATATAATTTCATAGATATGTACTATGACTTTTCTTTTTTCTGTACTAGGGCTCCAGAATTTGACATGTCAGAACTTGAGAGTCTTTTCTCTGCAATTTCACCAACTGCAAATAGCAGGAACAAGCCTGGGAAATCAAACAGTAATGCCTCAGGCCGTAAACCTGATAAAGTCCAGCTGGTAATTAGCACCCCCCTTTTTTTTTTGAACAGGTTGAAGGCTTGAAGCTCATTGTTAGTTCTCTTGATTGCCTGACTTAAGGATCTTAATTCTGTTTTGTGCCAAACTGGGGCTGAAAGGATTTTTCCCCCTTTAAACCTGTTAACTGTTCCATACTTGGTTCTTGATGGTGATTTTCCATAGTGTTATGTTTCTTGGTTGGTGTTTCTCTTTATTCTTGTTAAACTCTTATTCATCTTGGAGCTTTTATCTGAGTATGCTATCTCACAAGAAATTCATTTATATTGCAGATTGAGCTTAGACGGGCATATAATTGTGAAATCATGCTCACAAAAGTTAAAATCCCTTTGCCTGAATTGACAGTAAGATAACTATGGCATTTCTCTTAAAATAAATGCTACTTGATGAGTAGTTTAGATTTTCAGTTATAGTTCGATGTACAAAAGACAGGTACCATGGTTATTCACAATTAACAAATGACAGCATTTAGTTCATAGGTTGATGTATGCTAGGGTTAGATAATTTTGTTTCTCTCTAGGCACTTGATTACCAAATTGAACTTATATAACAGCCAATGTGTCATGTTCAATTTGTTGCCCTGAAATATTCTTCATTTGATGTTTTACGTTTTTACTTCTCTGTCACTATGTTGCAGAGTGCAATCCTTGCCTTAGATGATACAGCATTAGATCCTGATCAGATTGAGAACCTTATTAAGTTTTGTCCTACAAAAGAAGAGATCGAATTACTCAAGGTATTGATATATGTGATTATATATTCTCTATCTGTGCTCTTGAAGTAATAGTTTCAGATTGTAAGACTTTTAGATGCGCATAACGAGTAGATGGTATCATGTACATTATGCAAATAATCACGTTTGGGGTGATGATTATATTTTTATTTTCAGGGTTATACAGGAGACAGGGAAAACTTGGGAAAATGCGAACAGGTCAGCAGAGTATCTTTGTGTTGTACACTTTTCTTTAACAATTTAGTTTGCATATAATCTGATTACTTGCTCAGTATTTGGTGACAGTTTTTCCTAGAATTGATGACGGTGCCACGAGTAGAGTCTAAGCTAAGAGTTTTCTTATTCAAAATACAATTTTATTCCCAGGTATGAGGAGAACCTGTGCGCTCAGATTGGTATGAGATGCTTTCTACTGTTGTTGTCACCTAATTGGTACTTATTGCACCTTTACAGGTCTCTGATCTTAGAAATAGTTTGGATATTGTAAACTCTGCTGTTGGAGAGGCAAGTTAAGCTTTTTTGGACATAAATTAGCTTTTCCAATTGAAGGTGTTATTCTCCTGAAGAATTTAGTCATTTAAACCATTTCACCGATGCATTCACCAGGTGAGGAATTCGGTCAAATTGAAAAGGATAATGCAAACTATTCTTTCTCTGGGAAATGCTTTGAACCAAGGAACTGCTAGGGTGAGTGATTTAACTGAGGAGGTATATTTTATTAATAGATGAAGAACTATCTTATTGTAGTCATCTTTTTGTATCTCATTCTGTTTAGATAAATTTTTTAATGGGAAACAAGGTCAGTCTTTTCACTGCTGATTTGCTTTCTGTTATTCTTCTTGAATGAGTTATGTATTTTCGCTGTTTCCTTATTGTTAATTGAGTCTCTTAAATATTTAACACAGTCCTGTAATCCTGTATTTTTTATCCTTAACTGCTAAGAATAGAAATCAAGTCCGAGATGTCATATCTGTACAATTTTTTCAAGAAGCATCAATTTACTCCAAACGTTTCAGTAATTTATGGTTCAACCCCACAGGTTCTGCCGTTGGTTTTCGGTTGGATAGTCTCCTTAAACTCACAGATACACGAGCTCGGAATAAAAATGACTCTCATGCATTATCTTTGTAAGGTAGAAGATCATCTACCTTAATTTCCTTGATTGTGATCTTTCCTGTTAAATTTGTTTGAATAACTTGAATATTCTTGTACTTCTACATTTATGTTTCAAGATGGAATGCCTCTGTCTTACTGTATACCAAGTAAAATGCTTGAATGTGTGCAGACATTCACTGCATCCTTTTGCAATTTTGTTGAAGACTAATTTTAAAATTTAAAGGTTACTAATATCATGAAAATTCTTGCAGAAAATACATGGTATGTTGGGTTGTTTTACTTTTGCAATCATAACTTATTGCCATTGCAAACTGTATCTTATTCTTTGTGAGAACGTCAATTTATACTTTACTCTTTATGGCCTCTAATTTTTAGGTCCTGAGCCAAAAGTTGCCAGAATTAATAGATTTTCCAAAAGACCTTGTGACTTTGGAAGCTGCAACAAAGGTAAGATTTTTATGGCCTTTTCAGGTCATACTTAAATTTCTTAACCTTTTCCATATGATGTTAAGCAAAATTATTGATTACCATGCAGGTACAATTGAAATATTTGGCAGACGAGACACAAGCCATTAGCAAAGGGTTGGAGAAGGTTGTCCAAGAACTAGCTGCCTCAGAAAAGGATGGTCCCGTCTCTGAAACATTTTGCAAGGTATTTCCTATATATTAAATAGCTATTTTGCATATCAGGCTCTGCACATTCACATGTTGCTTGGATTTTCTTCTTATATTTAATGCAGTGCCTGTTAGGGACACCACAACCTTGGCTTTCCTAGTCTCCCCCCCTTCCCTTCCCTTAACTAAAATAACAACATTGCATAATCTTTAGAGGAACAAGATGGTGCATTAAAGTTTTCAATCAGGATCTTTAGTAATTAGTAGGTCAGTGTTGGCCTTTGCAGAAGCTAAATGGGATGTTTAAGTCAACATTGGTTTAAAGAAACTTGATTAGAGCTGTTGTGATCTGAGACTTTGGTCAAAATCTCTTGAGATTTAATCTCATCCAATAGTCTTTATCATTCATCATTGGGTTTTGATAAAAATGAACTGCTTTGAACAGCCTTCCAAACTATTTTTTTGCCAAATATTCATTCGCTGTGACAGCACTTCTTCAGCCTTCAAAATGTTCAAGTGCTAATCAAGAGTACCATGACCATTGAGCTACTATACAACTGTATCACTTGTCTTATGAATAATATTTCGTTTGGATCAGTACTCACTTTCAAATAACTTGTGCTCTCTCTAATTCTCATTTTTCTTTTTCTTCATATTTCTCTAACAGTAAATGCTTTTATTTATATATATCTTCAGACTGTAAGGGAGTTCCTTAGTTTTGCTGAAGGGGAAGTGAAGTCTTTGACTGCGCTTCATACTTATGTGGTATGTATTACGTTAAGGAGGTTTTATTCTTACATATTCGATGTGCCAGAAAGAAAACAAATTCATAAGCATTTCTAAATTGATGCCTTCAGGGTAAAAATGCAGATGCATTGGCTCATTATTTTGGAGAAGATCCTGCACGTTGCCCATTTGAGCAAGGTCGTGGTTTAGTTTTAACAAGTCTAATTAATGCTTAACCCTGCATCATTTTAGGACCCAAAAGTTTATCAAGTGTTTCATTTTCACTTCGTTACTTTTTGTAACCGAAATATAATGGTTTTCTTTTATTGTAGTAGTACTTCTACTTATCCTCAAAAGCAATACTTTGAGTGATGCTGTCCTAAATGATGGTGGTGCCCCCCTCTTGATCTATAACCAAGTGTTGTTTTCGCATCAGTATGCTACTGTTTTAAGTCACTTTGGATGCCTACAGTAAAGTTGATCTAGTTTAGATATCATAGCTAGCATTTGTGCTAATATGTTCCCATCTTAAGTAATTTGTGCTTTCTAAAAACTATTAGCCAACATGCACCCGTATGAATCTCAGCTGTAGAGCAGTTTTATGTCTCGAGTGTATTTTATTCAGATTTATCACTGTCTCTTTTGTCTGCAACTTTTTCTATAGTCATGGCTACTTTGCTCAGCTTTTTCGAGGATGTTTGTCAAAGCACATGAGGAAAACTGCAAGCAACTTGAATTGGATATGAAGAAAGCAAAGGAGGCAGAAAATGAGAAGCCAAAAAACTAGTACTTCCATGAAGGAGTCTGAAGCTCTCAACACTTGATACAAGGTCCAATCAAGAGCGCCGCTATTCAATGATGGATTCTACCAATTAACCTGACATTCTGATTCTAACATGTAAAAACATGTTATGTTTTGCTCAGTGGAGGGAAAATCCTTGTAAAAGAACGTGTAGTCTAAGATGAGACCGCAAGAATGAGTTGTAAATTAAAATACATGCAGGTGGTGAATGGTGAGTCCGAAAACCTTTTCAAATTGTAATCTATTTTAACTGCATTAATTCTTTAACATGTTTTCTGATATTGGAGCAGAGCCGATGGATGAAGTTCATATTAGGTCCTCTCGAGCTACTTGTGCGGTGCCCAAAAAGCTTTGTTGTAAAATATAGGAACACAACTTTATATAATAGTTTTACTTTTGTTCTCCTTTTCAGTATATATATAAACATTGTGTAAAATTTTAGTTAAAAGGAATGTAAGTGAATATTTCTTTTTTAAGAATTGGGTGTAGATTATCATCGATATAAGATAATAGCATCTTCTCTTGTACGAAGGTGGGTCTCAAGTGCAGATATGGAGCTACCAACCTACGAAAAGCCAACTCATTTCTGGATTAGTATCCTAGTTTTAATGGTGATAATATATAACTTGGTATATAATCTCTCGACTGTCATGGACCGGACTGACCAGCTGGCGCGATACTGCTTTAGGGTGGTTGAGAGTACCTTACCGGTCGGTCAGGTTGTGCCACTGACTATTAAATCACTCATGTTAGCAGTATAAAAAATTGAACTTCACAACTTGAAATGAGGCTTTCTCGATTCATTTCAGCACAGGCCAGAGTCAGGGAAGTTGGAATCTTTTCAAGTTCATGAGATTGCTGGTGTCCAGCATTGCGGGAAACTGCGGCGGCTAAAGGCATAGGGAAGTTGGAATCTTTTGTCAATGATGCAACATAGTCTTTGATTCTTGTGGTCGTCCACGCTGCTGCTTGTGTCGTAATCTTTCATAACATTCCAAGGTAATTCCGAGTAATGGGCGGTCGAAAAGGGTTATCCAGAACTGGATAAGGAAAGCTAGTTGCCGAAGAAGACATGATTGACCTGCTGTAGAATAATAAAATCATGGTTGTGCTGTCCTTGGTATGTTGCCATGACAATGATCATAGCCATAGGTATTTAATAAAGTTTATGTGGTAGCAATGGGAATTGATAACGTAATGGGTATGACATCATGCGACTGAAGTAAGCACTTAGGTCTTATTTAATTATTTGAATGCATCACTTTTTTTTTGGCACCAACTTTGCTGGTAATGAGGTCCAACGTGTTAGTGGACATATGTAGACAAATTCGTGGACTTCGAACTTTCCAATCTTTGTTAATTTTCTCTTTCCTTTTCAGATTTTCCGAGAAAATTTAAAAGAAAACGAGTGATGACCGATTACCTCAGTCATTTATAATTCTACAGTCGTAATACCTTGCAGGTCAACCGGTAACATCATCTAGAAACATATCAATGAATGAGAGACAAAAGCAAAAGGCAAGTTGTACATCATAAATGTAGGTTTGTTTTTCCTTTCTCAAATCAAAAACCTGCACTTTGCTTGAAATCAAAAGGCGTGTAGCACCATTATTTTTTAATACCTGATGAGTTGAAAAATATCCTTTTCTTTTTGGCACCATCAACTGTACGTTTACCATTTTCACACACGATTTTTGGTCCTGAAAAAGTAATGTATTTACCAGTTTATTACTTATCTATGGTCTAAACTACAACTAGAGATCTAACATTTCGTTGAATGATATCTCATTAATGCTTATCGCTTTCATTATCATCTCCAACCTCATTTACTTTTTTGATAAAATATTTATTTAATCAGAGTATATTCTACTGTATTTATAATGTAATTGAGAACTCAAAATAAAATTAATAAATTAAGATAAGTGCTTAATTTCTATATGATATAGACTAGGTAATATATATTAAATAACATATAATCTTAAATGAATAGGATAATTTTTCTTGAATAATTTGAAGTGATTATAAGAAAATATATGTTCAGAATTTGATTTTTATCTTTTAAATTACTTAATAAGTTCAAGAATAAGATAAAATTTAAATCTGATATATATTTTAAAGGGATATAATTTTCTCCTCAATATCTTGAACCGACAAACCCGACCTGAATAGGTCTAATTTTTCTTCCTTATATGAGGGGTAATGTACTAATGTCTTTTAAAGCATGCCCCATGGCCTTATGGGAGTCTCTATTTTTGCCCTATCGGGTAAAAATAAGTATATATAGACAAGAAATTATCAGCTGGCAGCTAGCAAAGTTTTAATATAAAGAAATTGGTTTAAAGTGTGGAACAAGTTCCTATACTATATGTAAAAGTTCATTTCAGTCCCCATACTTCAAAAATGACATTTTAGTCTTTGTATGTTGATTTGTTCATGAGCAGCTTATGATTTCTGTGCAATTGGAGAAGCGAAGCTCAGATAACATCTGGACTGGAAAGAATACTCCTCCCATTTTCAACTGAGCCAAGAACATACAAAATGCTATGAATTTTCACCACTTTCCTATCGTATTCTGGTTACAACTCTTACTGAAATGGCTGCAGCAAGAGCTGCTGTGAAATTAGGGTCTCTAGTCAAAGAAGCTGCCATTTGATTAACTAAAAGTTGCTGGATAGCTGGTGCATCAATTGTTGAGCTGGCTTTTGGTTATCATCCCCCAGTCCAGCTGGTTGCATCAAATCAAGAGTTACCCTAGGAGCTGAAGCTTTGGTTTGGGCAGATGAAACTGGAGCTGAATCCCTGTTGCTGGGGCTTAATGATCGTTGTTCTGCCGGAACATTATTGTGTGCATTGGTCGTGGTTGTGCT